CTGTACGTCTACCTGTCCGTCTTCGACGCTTCTCAGCAGTTTCCTGAAGGATTCTACACTACCAGCCAGCCCCTTCTGGAATTCATCCCGTGTCCCATCGTCTCCCAAACGCTCTACCTTCCATCGGAACACTTTCCTCTGTTTCTTACTCTTGATCTTTCTGGATCGGTCGATGTTTGCCCATATGAGGAAGTGGTCGGTCGAACCTATATCTATCGCACTTATGTGCAGCTCTGGGATCTGCGTGCTCCCCCTGTCTACCTGCTGTTGGGGGGGCGGGTATCTCCAAAACCGAACCAAAACGTGGTTGACAATGTTGCCTCACGGGGTAAACCCACGGCGGGAATTGTACCCCATGCACTACCACTACACATACTGCGCACCAATCTACCAAGCTGTTCGGGGTGCGGGACCGTACTCGCTGTGAATGCCATAGTCCAAGGGCTTGTATCTCTATTCATCCTCGACTTTTATTCTGTGTCTTTTTCAAATGTTTTATTTAGGTGCCACCCTTGCAAAGTGCCAGAACTTTTCATCAAAACCGCTTCGCGTCGGCACGCCTCGTTCAATGACGCGCATTGGAGATGCTTGGTCGACACGAAGCGCTGATAATAACGATGATGAGGGCCGCCACGATCATGGGGTCGAAACCGCAACAGATGGCTGCATTTGTTGCACCTTCGACTCCAACATGGTGGCGGCCCTCACTATCGTTATTGTTTAGCATTTGGTCTCAACGAAGCATCCCCAATGCTTGTCATTGGAGATGAATGAGGTGTGCCGACGCGAAGCGACTTTGGTCGTGACAGTTGGTGAAGGCTACATGCCACCCTGGACCACCTGGCACGCAGCAGGAAGCACAACGAGGTGGGAGTGCGCTCGGCCATGTACGGCCGGGAAAATGATTGCCGTTGGTGACGCAAGATAGCGAACCCCCTGGCTCGATTTTCAAAGCTCGATTACTTGGCTGGAAAAACAAGTTAGTGACGGTGCCCGAAAATGGCGGCGTTGCAGCTGTCTCGCTGAGAGCTTTCCGAAAATGCATCTCTTGATGTCGGCATCCTCCTCCTCCTCGCGGAACGCTACAACAACCGACGTAATATTTTGTACTTCTTTTTAGAAATAACCAAACAAATCCATCTGTGCCTCAGATGAAGAGTCCGTGGTGGACTAGCACTGTGATGAATGAATTCATAGGTAGGGGGAACAACTCGTATTTCCATGGTTCCCCTAGCAGCACACAGCGATATCTCTCCTGTGGCTAACAGGCTCGACAACACAGGTTTGACATTGGGTCCAGGGGGCGTGGTGTCTTGCGCAATCTATGTAACAATATGTAGTGTCGTGGTATAGAGGAGGCTCCCTGTTTAATGCCGGTTGGATAGTGCCAATGCCCGGTATAGTGCCGGTATTTTCGGCGAGCACAAGCTGTTCGGGGTACGGGACCGTACTCGCTGTGAATGCCATAGTCCAGGTGGTTGTATCTCCATTCGCCCCCTTGTTCAAACGTTCTATTCATGTGCCACCCCTACAGCGTGCCAAACTGTAATCAAAGCCGCTTCGCGTCGGCACGCCTCGTTCAGCTCTTATGACCAGCATGGGAGATGCTTGGTCGACACGAAATGCTGATACTAACGATAGTGAGGGCCGCCATCATGTTGGGGGTCGAAACTGCAACAGATGCTTCGACCCCAACATGGTGGCGGCCCTCACTAACGCTACTATCAGCATTTCGTGTCGACGCGAAGCGACTTTGGTCGTGACAGCTGGTAGTGCAAACACGAGTGCTTGCTTGGGTCGACACCGTCAGTGTGTTTTCAGCGGCTGCCTCGCACGCCACGACCGCGAGACGAGAATTTGAACAGCAGGTTAACACGACACAAACAACGACGGATGTCCAAGGATGATGAGATGAACCGCAGCCTCCTTATCATCGTCTTTTTCTGGGGTCTGCTTAAAGCAGCACACGGGGAAACACGTCAAAAAGTTGTACATAAGCTTGGTTGATGTCTATTGTGTGACATGAATCCATAAACGGAACGAGACTAGGCCACAACACAAACATGAATATTTCACCAAGAACCACACAACAACGACGACGACAGTAACAACAACAGCGAAGACGAAAACGAAAACGACAACCACAGCAGCAGCAGATACAACAAAACACACCTCGAGGCCTCGCATGAACGTGCCCTGAGTCGTCTCCGTCAATGTCCGCCCACTCCTGTCCTTCAGCGTGGTCTTGGTTCGCAGCAGCACGCCTCCTCTCCGTCGGTAAACCCCCAACACCACCGAACTGTTGCGTATCAACGAACAAAACAATTAGATATTGAAACGAAAAAAGCGGGGTAATTTCACGGCGTGCGGCGGAGGCGACCGCGATGTAGCAAATCAACAGCTTGCCTTTGTGATGTGACACATGATCACGCACGCATCCCTTTCGGAGAAGAGAGGTTTCAAGTGCTGATAGACCACCTGTGCCCGAGAAATGAGCAGGGGTCTGCAAGCGAGCCTATTAAGACGGTTCACGCCCAGCTACAACTTCGGACATTTCTTGGGGGCGATTATCTGCTTCACACCACCTCTGCATGTGTTTCTCCTTCGGCATACGCGACTACATCAAAGCTCAATGCGAGGACCTCGAAACATATGCCAGCGAATTATCCTACCGTGTCGTTGGCCTGTCGGTCCTCCTCCGATGGTTATTCACTGAAAAACAAGCGTATCGTTCAGTGGGTTCAGGCCACGAGGACGTTGCACGAGCATCATCAACAAACGACGGCACTCCAAACAATGGCAATGGAAATAGCAACATACCTGCAACACTATCTCAACAATAGCAGCGACAGCGACAGCGACACACGCACCAACTCTCAAGTTCCGCTCCTCTGGGCTCCAGCGGCTCAAGAACGTCGATTGACTGGTCGTAGTGCAGGATAGCCCCAGTGTTCACGACACCACGGAGCGCTTGAGGGAGCAAAAACAACGTTTGGCCTGTCCTGTCGAGTGATGTTTTAGAAACGATGGTGCCCGGAAACAAAATAATACAACGGGAACGAGTTGCCAGCGAGTCATAGATGGGGTGGGAGAGTGTGAGAACATAGATTTGGCAACACCCTATTAAGCGAGTAAGGACAAGTCATGCACAATGCAACGCGACACTGCTGTGCGGTTGTCTGACTTGGGGCTAGCGTTAGCCTCGATGGTAGCTCTGGCGCCCCATCTCTCGCGGCTATACTTGCGTGAGAGAAAGGAGTTGCTGCTTCGACCGGCCGATATGTGGTACAGTCGGGTGTCCTCTTAAGAGTGTCGGTGAAATCGGCTGGCATACATGGAATAGGAATAATCCAGGCGGGTAATACATTGAACAGTGCGGGTGCCCGCGTGATCGTGCGGGTGAAAGCGTTTGGGACATGGGAGGGCACTCGACTGTGTATACCTTTGTCATGTGTCAGACATCACCGCGTTGATGAGGATGAGGCGGAGAAAAACAGCGCGAGGATTAACAGGCCGGTTGCGAGGGTGACCGGTAGCTCGCCGCCAGTCAGATGGGATACATAGAAGCGTCTCTTTGTGTCAAGCAAACCATACTATAAGCGACGGGAGACAGCTCTCGCTACATTGTTTCAAGGCCATCACGTCACTACAAACGAGTTTGTTTGCGGCAGTGGGCCGTACGGTGCAGCCTGCTGGAGTTCCAATGGGCTGTCCAGCTAGTGCGTTCCCTACCGCCGCCAGTACAGGTGTGTTACGGTAGGTACTTCATCCCGTGTTTCAACTCTGTGCTGTGGTGAGAAGCTGACAACAATGGCAGCTGTCGATTACAGACGACAAAATGAAAAAACGAAGTCCGCCTCGATTGCGTCAATACACCAGCAGTAGACCCCCGAAAGCGCCGCTGATGTTGCGTGTATTACACAAAGTCGTCTCTATCTGTGGCAGCTCAAATAATTGCCGGAGTCACTTTCGAGGGCACACGTTTCCTCGCGATCTCTCCGAATCCCGGTCCGAAAATGCTCCCACTTTTACCTATTTAAAGTTTTTTTAGTACTTCAAAAAATTACTTGAAACTTGTAATCCTCGTTCTTCATGTCTCTATTGTCGCACTACATACATACACCTGCTGTGGTGCCAACTCACCGAACCACTCCAACGCTCCGATTCGTACGGTACTATGCGCAATTTTTTCTTGTGCTCAAAGAGTGTGCTCCACTAAGAATAAGGGCATAAATCACGCGGTAGAAGAAGCGCAGTGGTAAATGTGCGTGCTCATTGTGGAAAAAGGGAACCAGGAAATGTTTTCAAAACGTTTTTTCACAGCATCTCTCCGCGGTTTTTGGCATCTTTCACCCGCTACACATGCTATTCGAAAAGGGGTTGAAATTGCTGCGTACAAGACAGCACCCATGCAATCCGCCTCACCAGGAAAAGGAACAATGTCCGAGGAGGTCCCCTTGTAGGGCAAGACCAGAGGGTAGGTCGGAAACGCGCCGAACGCGACGTCGTTCTCATCGACAAATCTCCTTGTCTCCGCTCCTATCCCAAGGGCATAGATGATGAGATCTCTTCGCGTGTACGATACGGCGAACGGGCCCTCTGCTTGCCCGACGATCGCCGAAGCGTCTACGGCACTGCCCTTCATCCTTGCTGCAGAAGCGTGCGTGGCGGAGAGCGCACGAAAGGGAGTGAAGAGAGACCTGAAACGGAGTGATGCATGGATCGGCAACGGGGAGAGCCGAGCAGCCAACGGGAAGGGGAATCGCGGACTAGAATGGGGCACCCCGCAGTGCCCATTCATTGGCTTTTTGAAATCTTGATTAGGTTACGTGGATCTTGCATTCGAAATCACACGATGGTACGTTTGTAACTTTGCAGAGCATCTCGTGTATGCTGAAAGCATGCGTGCGTCAATAACAGTACGTACGTTGAAGGGCGCCACGGTTGTCCTTGCTCATCATGATCAAAGTTCGCCACCTACACGTCTCAAAGGAGAATATATGTCGGAGAACCAGGGTACATACCCCGATACGATAGTTTAATCTGCGGTGCCCCGTGCCATGACCCGGCCGCCCACACCACGTGCACTCTGCTACAGCTACGCGCGAGTGGAGCACACCCAAGCATATACCTGAAGAGGATCTGGTTGCGGAAGCCAAATCATCATACGTGGGCGCTCCCGCCGCTTGGTGCCTCCGCTGAGCGTTCGTACCCAGATCAGCAAGGTCGTATCCGCGCGGTAGTTGATACTCCTTGTAAGAGCGTGAATTTTGCACACGAGATTTTTGAGAGAGAGACGGGCCGCAGGAGAGCGAGGCGGCACCAAGAGCCCTACAGCGGTTCGTGAGCACCGCTGGCTCTGCTGTGCACGGCGAACGGCGGACGGAGGCGATGGATTCCAACGGAGACGATCCCACGGACATGAAGGTGGCCGATATCAAGGAGGTGGCGGCGCCAGTCGCCGAGTCGTCCAAGGTTCAGCAGCAGGACTTGGCGCGACGCTCTCCTCACCCAACAACATCTTCATCATCATCATCAGCAGCCAAAAAGACAACGACAACAACAACTTCCCCTCGGACGGCAACGCCGACGTCTAGCGACCGCAAAGCACTAGCGCCATCATCAGCAGATGTAGACCGTTCGCCGACGCCGCCAGGGGACTATATGGACGTTGACGGCGTAAGCTCGGGGCGAGGCAAGACTACAGAATCGGGAAAAGGAAAGGCTGAATTGGGAGGAGGAGCAACAACAAGCAGTAGCAACGGAGGGGGGGCGGGCAGGAAGCCGAGGGGGTTAGCGAACGGATTGGCGGCGGCGGAGCCGTCCCACGCTGGCACGACCAAATCGCCGGCACCCGCGGGCGACAAGAAAAGCCCGCGAGTTGTCGGGGGTACAATCGACACCAGGAAGGACGGCAACACCAGCAGCTGCAGCAGCACGAAAACCAGCTCGACCAGCAACAAGATGATGATCTCGCCGCAGCAAGAAAACGCTGCCAAGCCGCCTGGAAAACCCAAGAGCCCTCTAGCAGCAAGGGTCGTCCCGGCTGCGGCTGTGCCCGCCACTAACGGTAAGACCAGGGCAAAGACGCCACCGCCGCTTGTCCGCGGCTCTGCTCCTGCCGCCGCTCCTGCCGCTGCTGCTGCTGCTGCCGGAGAAGGCAAGAGCCACGCGGGGGTGCTGCCTTTTTCGGGTCGCAATGGAGTCGCTAGCGACGGGCTCGAGGTAGTCGGGTCGGACGGGACCAAGAAACGCTTGCCGCGTGTGCTTGCATCCAAGCCGGTGCCGGCGGATGGCTCCAAGGGCGCCAAGAGTCCACCAAGCGCTGGCGCCGCGGCTCCTTCCAGTGCTGCTGCGGTGCGCTCGACGAGCCGCAGCTCGACACCGACCAACGCCAACACCAAGACAATCGCCAAAGCCAACACGGGCACAACGCCGCCGGTGCCTATTGCTGTTCAGCAGCAGCAAAGGGGGCGTGCGTCTCCCACCACGAGCTCCTCCTCTTCCGAGCCGTCCTCGCCAAGATCGGCGGACGGCGAGGCCCTGCTCAGGATCGAAGAAGGTAGCAGCGTCGATGGTAAGGCCACCAAGCGACGTCGCCGTTCCCGCGTGGCAACTCCAACGAGCGGGGACTCCGATCACGCAGTGGACGCGCCGCCGCCCCGCTCTCGCCGCCGCACGGACAGCGGCGGCCCCGAACAAGCGGCGCCGGGAGGACCATCCTCCCCGAAATCAGCAGCATCTCTCAACGGTCGCTCTCTTCTCGTGTCCGCGGCCGCGGCAACGACGCCCGCCGTCTCCGTGTCTTCCTCTATAGCGCTTGGTGGCGGCGGCAGAAGCAGCAGCGGAAGCAGCAGCAGAGGGAATGGCGGCGGGGGAGGGGCAGGAGCATCAAGCATGCCGCCGGCGAAGAAGCGCAGCCGACAAAGCACTAAAGACAACAGCGCAGGTGGGGGCGGCGGCGGCGGCGGCGGCGGCAGCAGTTCTGGGGCGAGCGGGAGTAGCGGTAACGGCAGCGTCTCGGTAGGAGGGCGAGGCGGCGGCGGGCGTGGAGGGGTTTCCGGGAGGGGAAGAGGCAGGGGAAGAGGCAGAGGGCGGGGGCGGCGAAAAGGGGCCTCGCTCTTGGAGGACTACCACGCGTCGAAGGGGCCGAGCAACAAGCCGAAGGAGATGCGGTGGCGGACGCACCGCATGGTGGAGGACTACACAAACATATGCGGGAAGATCATGTACGGGCACGTGAGAACCGGGCCATTCGGGTACAACTCGGTGGAGGGGCGGTTCCCGATGGAGCGGCCGACGACCCTGGGCATGATCAAGGCGGGGATACGGCGGCCGACAGTGATCGAGAGGTGGAGCCCGCACGACGTTGCGCTGTTCGAGGGGGCGATTAGCGTTCACGGGAAGGTGAGTTTAGTGGATGGCGTTTTGGCAAGAGGGGGGACGACGACTCTGTCGTTGTGCGTGTTTTTATTGTCGGTGGTTTCGTGCTCTCTCCTTGGGGTCAAGAGACTTGGTTCTTGCGATGGTTGGCAACAGACGGTTTTTGTGGGACGGCGGCGCGACGAGAGTATCCGGCGCATCTGATGTCGGCATGCTATGCGGTCTTGCTGGAGCTCTGCTGAAAGGATTTCACCGACTGCTGTCTAATGCTGTTGTAGCCATGCATCGTGTGTGCGCGTCTTGTCGCCTCATGACGTAATTTGCGCAAACGTGTTTGGCTCCATGCGTGTTTACCATCCGTAATATGATGCAAGATATCACACGCCTCGGGCAGATATTCAAATATCGAGGTGTAACAGCAAACAGCGTGGCGGTGCCAACAATGGCTGCGTTGGAACCGTCTCATCGAGAGCCTTTCAAAAACAAACCGTTTGATTTTGGCATCCTCTTCATCGTGGGATAATGGAAAGTTCAAGTCTCCGGCCGGGCGGTGTGATATCTCGTGTCACCCACGGAAAAATTAGGCCAAGTTTATCTTCTCTATCAACGGGTAGGCGTCTCTTTCCCTACTATATAGACGAACTTTTCAACTGGTTCTCTCTCCACGACAAGAACGGACACTAAACGATGCGATAGTGGCATGTTCGCACGAACACAAATCCAGCGTTTTGAACAATCGTTGTTGTCCACATTCTCAAGTAGGAAAACACGGATATGTGCTGGGGGGGGGTGTTGGCCCCGTGTAAACCGATATATCGTCATGGATCGCGGTTCTTGGTGCTGGTTTTGAAAGTCGGTGCAGGGGGTGTGGAAGCTTACGTCACGTACGGTATGCGGTCGTTTAAAGATAACGGCTTTGCAACGCTCCAGACACGATAACCTCCATTTAGCAAAAACCGTTCTGTGTGCCGAAGCAACCCCAGCCCAAAGCACTGCGCGCTTGCCTTCCTTGGCTTGGCCTTGATTCCGCTGCTCCTGCGTGCCCTCAATTGCACCGATTTTTTTTTTTTGTGTGTCCTCAAGTCCTCGCGTGTGTTTTGCTCTCTGTGGCAACGTCCGCCGACAGGTGTTCCACAAGGTGGCGGAGGAGATAGATGGGAAGACGGTGGCGGACGTGGTAGAGTTCTACTACATGTGGAAGAAGACCAACCACTACAAGCAGTGGAAGGCCATGTTCCGGGCGGAGCAAGCCATTCTCCAGGCACAAGAAGGAGATAGCAGCGAGGAGGAGGAGGAGGAGGAGAAGGTGGTGGAGGAGAGAAAAGTAGCGGTAGGGCGCAGCAGCAGCGGCGGTGTCCTCGTCAGCAGGGCGGGCGAACCGAAACGGCTAGACGCCGGTCGATCCTCCGTTTGCGGTGCCTATGGGAGCGTCGCTGGGGCGGCCGGGGGACCGCATCAGCAGCACCGAGGGGCAGGCAAGAAGGGTAGCCAGCCCCAGGGCCGAGGGGGCGCCAGTAGTCAGCCGCAGGGGCGGGGGGGGCAGCAGCTTCAGAAGGGCGGGGGGGGCAGGGGAGGGGGTGGGCAGCCGCAAAAGGGGGGGGGTAGCCAACCGCAGAAAGGAGGCGGTGGCCAGCCGCAAAGAGGGGGGGGTGGCCAACCTCACAAGGGGGGGGGTGGCCAGCATCAAAGGTGTGGGGGTGGCCAGCCTCAGAAGGGAGGTGGCGGCCAACCACAGAAGGGGGGGACTGGCCAGCCGCAGAAGGGCGGGGCCAGCCAGCAGCCGCAGGGTCGGGGAGGGAGCAGCGGAAGTAATCAGCAAGGCCGCGCAGGGGGCGGGGGACCGCAGGGGCGCGGCGGGGCGGCGGGGTCGTCGTCATCGTCGTCATAGCATTAGTTTAGGGCGCTTCGCTCTTGCCCTCCGTCTGTTGTTTTGTTGTTGTGTCTGTTTTGGACGGAGGTGGCAGACAGAACGTTTACGCTGTGTAGTTTGGTGTTATTGTTTTGTTTTGATCACAACAGCAGGGAGATATTTGTAATGTTTCATTATCGTGTTGAGACTTTCGGGTGGGGGGCGGAGCAGCAGCAGCAGTAGCAGGATGGCGTTCGCTGAGGAGTGGGGTGCAACAGAATCAGAAATCAGGAGGATCGACAGCAGTGAGACTATACGCGTTGTTGTCTTTTTAAATATATTCGCGCTCGATGTTTTGCTGAGGGTGTGTGTGTGGCAGCGTCAGAGCTTTCAAGTGTCGTTTCTCTATCGTTCGAGTTCCGTGGGATGGGGGGGAAGCACAACGCATGTCTGCCTTCATGCCCATGTTGTTGAGCTGGGATAATTTTTTGGTGGTGCTTTTTCCTTGTGACGGGCTTCCTTTCCGACGCCCGAATGAAACACCGAGAGAAGGCGGGGTGGAGGCTGCGAGGGAAGGCGGCATTATTTAATTTCTGGCCGTGGCTAGGATAGGAGCTCGCTTTGGCGGAGGTGCTGCAGTTACAGCGGCCACTTTGGTAGCATCGTCTTTGACCGGTCCCCGGGTCCTTCTAAAAGCACGTTGAAAATGTCTTGGAGTGTGTCTTTTTCCGTGGACCAATTTCCGGTGTGGGGTTTCCGGGCTGTAGGCATGCATGAACCTGTTGCAGGACTTTTCTTTTTTCCTGTGGCACTATCGACAAGCCAACCCAACCCCATGTCATTGCCCCTTCTCTGTGGGCATGCCTAATGTATGGTACCCTGGAGGCAGCGATGATGGCCGAATGCTCGGTTCGGTACAGCAGTAGCGACCGTTCAGGCTGCGCTGCGCGAGAATTTTTTCCCCCACAGATCGTGTGCTCCTTTCTTGGTGCGGGCGGGAGGGGGAGACAAAGGAATATTATCGCTGGCGGCTTCGGGCGCCGACTTCCGTCCGCTAGGGAACGGTTATCTGTGCTGGTGCTCTCTGCTCCTGTTGCTGTTCTGATTTTACAATTTACAAAGTGTTTGTGATTCAACTGTTACATGATGGGGGGCGATTGAACGCCGGCCGATCACAATATATATATATATATTTTTGTGCTTGCCGGCACGAGCGGCGCTTTTCTGGGAAGTTCAAGGCTCGGACCCGGAATTACGCGGCGAGTGGGATGAATTTGACGTTGGAGAAACCGCCGGTACTTCACTCTTCTACGCGTGTGTATGTGCATGTGTCAGGCGTTGTCGGTTTCAAGGCCGGCTGTGGAGCAGTTTCATACCATTGAGAGACAACGACCCAGTAATAGTAGCAGCGCAACGGTTAACAGCCTCTGCCTAGTACCACATGATGTATATGCCTGGCGCGTGCTTTTCTGTCCTCGCTTGGCTCCGGAGGTGAAGTCGCTCGCATGGCCTGTGGTCCGTCTCGAGACAGAAAAATCTGGGCCTTTGATCTTGTCAAACGCGATGGACGGTGACGGCTGCTGCTGCTGCTGCTGCTGCTGCTGACGAAAACTACGGTTGGAAATATACGGGTGCAAGAGAAGCACGCCTCATTTGTGGACGCCAAGTCGCACGAGGGCATCATCACCCTTTTATCAGTCGTTTTTTTTACGTGGCGCCGTTTCCATGCTCAACCATACCGACCGTTACCATGGCCTACAGTACTCGCAACAGCAGATGAAGTATCTACTGTAGTGGAGGTATGCCGTCATCATATACATAATAAGCCAAAACCAAATCAGTTCAAATCTACCGCCTAGTCTGATGGTTGATCGGTGGCGACGATTGATCATGGCCTACTCTGCACTGGTACAGCATAGGTAGGCTTGGTATAAGAACTTATCTCTGAGGTCGAATTGCTTTTTTCCCCTTTGCGCGCCCTCACAGCTCTAGAGAAAACTGGGCAAAATCGTGTGACAGATCTCTCGAAGCAGGATCACACCCTCTGCTGCAGCCTGCCAAAAAGCAACACGAAAACCGAAGCGAGTGGTAGTCTTACCGCAAAGAGCGCGGAAACCACCACCCCCCATGGCAGCGAGAGGCGATCGGGCGGTTTTCTCCCTTCCTTGTCCATCATGAATCCACCTTGAGCAGACAGCAGTTTTTCGACCGCCTTCGCGAGGATGTTGAGCGTTCCACGTGAAATATAGAGGGGGGGGGG